AGAAAAAATGAACAGAGACTCGGAACTATAGAATAAACTAAATTAAAAAAAAGTAAATAACTAAAGAGAACTATAACAAAAGATATAAAATCTGTGCCATTTAAGTCACAGAAGCAGAATAGAAAGAGGGTGGAGCTAAAAAAGGTACTCAAGGAAATAGTGAATGAAAACTTTCCAGATTTGTCAGGTGATGTAAGGCACATATTCAAAAAGGCGATTAAATCCCAAACCAAGAGATAATCTACACCAAGATACTAATAATTGAATATGTGAAAACTAAAGACAAAAATCTTAAAAAGAAGCAAGAGAAAAATGACACCTTATATATAGGAGGAAAACAAATTTGAATAACAGCAGACTGAGTGCCAGAAGGAACTCAAGAGGTTAATGAAAATAAATGTTAACCCAAAAATCTATACCTAGCAAAAATGTCTGTCTGGAATAAAGGGGAAAACCATATATTTTCACAACAACAACAGCAATAGAACTACAATAATTTGTTATCAACAGAATTATTCCAAAATAGTGGCTAGAGGAAATTCTCTAAACAGAATCAAAGTTTAAAAGACCCCCTCAAACATCAAGGAGGAAGAAGAAACATGGAAAAAAAAAAANCAAGGGAAGGTAAGGGGGAGGGCTAAGCATAGAGAGGCAAGGCACGTGCACATTTGACCTTATCAAGGATTGGCCTAAGCTCGGAAATCCCACCTGCTAAGCATATAAATATGATCTTTTGTGTTACAATAAACGGAACTGCCTGACAGAACCCCCACTGCGTGCATATGTGTTTGTTCCCTATCTGGGAGAGCAGCAGCATGCTCACCCATCTCTTGGAATCTCTTTTCACCCCGCATCCTGGAGGGGAGAAAAGGGCAATCCCTTTGGCTCCAACCCTCTAGGCAAAGGAAAAACCTGTTGGGGTCCCGTGAGGCCACCAGAGACGCCCAACAGCTGGTGTCCCATGTGAGGATGGCGCCTCATACCACTTTCACCTTTTCCTTTCCACAGGGACAGCCAAAAACACCGCATGATCCTGAAAGATGGATGACAAAGAGGCCCTGACCTACAGTGCAGAGCTTCAGAAAGAAGGACAATGTTCAAGAGAAATCTGCTATCAGGGTGAGTACCAACGGCCTCAAGGTCGTATCTTTCCTTTTACTTTCATTTCTTTCTCTGTCTTCTCTTTTTTAGTTTTTGGCCATGGAGAATACTAAAGAGAAACTCAGCAATCCAGCCCTTAAGGCTCTAAAGTATTTGTTAAAAAGTTAGAGCTTTCAGATGCTACTGCTGCCGCAACTTGGGCGGCTGTTCTATCTGTAGCACCTTGGGCGCTCTTGGCTGATTTGTTCTCATATGATACCTGGGACCNATCGGTGTTGGAAGAATTATTCACCTTTTGTTGCTCTTGGAAATGCAATCAATACTCTGGTTTCACAGCGCATGGCTCAGAGGATCGCGCTGTCTCCTGGCACGGCCGCTCCAGACCCGTCGCCATCTTGAATCCCTCTACTATGATGTGTTTTGATGTGCATTTCTTTGTATTTACTTTTTTTTAGTTTGCAGTATTTCTAACACATCTGTGACTTCATGAGTCTTAAGAGTTTAAAATAATTCCTTTCATATATTGCTTCTCTTATTCTCTCTCTTTTCTTTTTCTTGGGATACAATAATAGGTATGATAGACTTTTTACTGTGCCACACATTTCTTATTTTCTTTTTCTCTTCATCCTTCTGGCTGAATATATTCTTCTGATCTATCTTCCAGGTTACTAATTCTCTTTTGAGCCATGTCTAAACTATTGTTATACTCATGTATTTAGATTTTTATTTCAGTTATTGACTTTATAAGTTCTAGAGCTTCCAATTAATAATTTTTATTTAGTTTCCACTTTTACTCTGAAATTCTCACTTATTTAAAATTTTGAACATATTAATTACAGTTATTTTAAAGCCTGTGTCTGATAATCCCAATGTCTAAATCTCCTTTGAATCATTTTCTGTCTGTTTTCATCTCTTAATTTTTTCACATAAGTTCTAGTTTTTTGTATGTCTGGTTATTTTTTGATTCAAAAGCTGGGCTTTAGTCTTAGTGAGGGCTGATCCATTTCCAGATATCCCATACTTCCAGGATGAAGCTCTTTAGGGATCACAGCTAAAATCCTGGGATGTTTTCTAGGAACTATCCTTCTTAGTGAGCCCTGATCTCTAGTTATTCTCAGACTACTTATCAATCTGATGTAAGCTAGCCTACCACAGTTGGAAGCAACATTTTGAGCCTCAATATTCTGGAAAGCAACATAATATGGTGCTTAACATAAGAATTTTTGAGTCAGACATTCACAGTATAAAAACTCTGCCCCTGGCTTCCAGGAAAGATGGCAGAATAGATGGTCCCCAGCATCACTTTCTCCCACAAATCGACCAATTTACAGCTATTAAAAAGCAATGACAACCAAGCTGGGGCTGCTAGAGCTAAGGGGAAGAGAAGGAGAGACCTACGAAGTTCATGAAGGCAGGAGAAGCCATGATCAGAGAAAGAAAGAATCTCTCCCAGAATTTTGAATCCTGGCTGCTTCAAGCCTGGCCCTGGTGAGCACATGGAGCAAGAGCTGACAAAAAGCTGCAGCTGTGCCCTTTGTATGTAGTTGCTTGGAGATAGCAGGGCAGAAGAGGGCCTTGGCCCCCAGGCCAGCAAGACCACTAACAGGGTTCCTGTGGATCCACACAGGAGTGAGGAGCCACAACAACTGAAAAAAGGAGCCACTAAGAGGCTGGAGAGTCAGTACAAGGGACCAGCTCATGGCTCACCCCATGGGAAGTGTTTGGAGTGCAGGTGGTGGGAGACACCAGCCCACTGGGGGAACCTTGGGGCACAGCATGGACAGCTGATCTGCACCCCAATCAGCACAGGACCACTCAGTGGAAACAGATCTGCAGGGGCGCAGTTTGCTGAAAAGACTCTGGCCCAGACCAGAGTTTCCACACAACCCAGGTGTACCATATCTCATAAGACCCAGAAGTATCTATAAAGTTAACCATTAAAACCTGAGCTGCACAAAAGCCTTCCCCAGAGAATCAGCAACAAAGCAGCAATTTAGCTCAACTACAGTGCTCAGGTACTGGTTCCCACAGGAAATTCCCCCATTTTAGAAGTAAGCAAAGGACAACAAATTAGTTCCAGTGCAGAGTTTAAGTGCTGGGAAAAGCAAATGATCCAACACAGAACTGAAAGAAAAAACCCAAAATACCCATAGACCAGAGACAAAGTTTAATATTAACTAGTAAATGTCTCACATCACGAAAGAACACCTATAAAACTAAAAACCTAGAAGGACCAGAAGCCCTGTGGCCTCCCAAACCAGGGAAGGGAGGCTGGGGGCTTGAGCCATGCCCCCCAACATCTGCAAAGAGCCCAGTGATGACCACCGAGCTGCCACAGGAAGCACCCCAGGCTCCCAAGCTGAGTTGGTGGGGGACTGAGGGCCTTGGCATGTCTCCCCAACATCCACAACCAGCCCAGTGATGACCACCAAGCCACTGCAGGAAGTGCCCCGGGCTTCCAAGCTGTGGAGGTGGGGGGCCCAGGGCCTTGGCCTCACCCCCCCACCACCCACAACCAGCCCAGTGGTGACCATTAGGCTACCGCAGGAAGCACCTTGGGCTCCCAAGCCAGGGTGGTGGGGGTGCTGAGGGCTTTAGCCACACTGCCCTGTCATCTGCATCCAGCCCAGCAACAACCACGAAGCCACCACTGGAAGCCCCCTAGTCTCCCCTGCAGGAATGACAGGGGTGCCATGGGTCTCAAACACAACTACCCTCCTTCCTCCTTCTCCCACCCTATTTCCTTTTCCTTCCCTTATCCCCTTCTTCCCCAACTGCTCCGCAACAACATTTTAGTATGTAAAAAAAAAAAAAAATTAAAAAAAAAAAAAATTAAAAAAAAAAAAAATTAAAAAAAAAAAAAATTAAAAAAAAAAAAAATTAAAAAAAAAAAAAATTAAAAAAAAAAAAAATTAAAAAAAAAAAAAATTAAAAAAAAAAAAAATTAAAAAAAAAAAAAATTAAAAAAAAAAAAAATTAAAAAAAAAAAAAATTAAAAAAAAAAAAAAATTAATAAATAAATAAACTCAAAAAAAACTTTCGACCCTATCCCTTAGCAACTGTGTGACCGAGGAAAATATATTTAGCCTCTCTGCATTTATGTTTTTCTTACGTAAACAATGGAAATAATCTCTATTTCACAGGGTTGTTTTCTGAGGGTTAAATGAGGGTTAAATAATATACATACAATGTTTAGCATAATGTGTAGAATATTTACAGGTGATAAGTATATTTGTTCCTTCAAGAAGAAAATAGAGTTAATATTACAGAATACATGTCTGTTAAAAGAATTCAATGTGATTATTCATGTGAAAATTTTATAGATTGGATGGGTTAGAGAAATGAAACCAGAAAAATTATTTCTGAAGTGTGTTGACTGGTTTTGATGTGCTAGGCATTGTGTTAAATGCTTACATGCATTGTATCATTCAATATCTATAATAACCATATGAAGTTGAAACTCTTATTTCCCCTATTTTACAAATAAGGCTAGAAAAGATTACATGACTTGTCCAAGATTTGATAGTGAGTAAGCAGAGAAGCCAGTGTTCAAATCCATCCCTAACCAGCAACTCCAGAGCTAGAGTCCCTAACCCCTGTCCTGTTCTAATCCCACTAAGCAACTCTTCTCTAAAATATGCTGACACAGTAGTAATAGAATGAATAGCAGGTCAAGAACAGAACTTTAAATCTTATCTTTAATTTCCAACCATGAAAGTGAGAAGTAATTAAGATGGATTAACATAAACTGTGAGTGAGAACAAGTTTAAAAATCTAAATATACACAGAAGCTTTGATCCATGATGTAGAAACCAGCTCTCATTGCATATGGAGCCCCCAAATCATCAATCAAGGGTGGCTATGGTTTAGGTCTATGATGCATTTTTCCTTGTACTTACATGTGAGTCATTTTAGTCAAATTGTAGAAGGAATATGACTCCAGCCGCTGCAGAGTTGCATCTATAGATAAGTAGCTAAATGTCACAAAAATATAAAACAAAGTAGAAAGTTAGTAGGGTTGTGAACTCCGAATATACTATTTTTTTTTTTTTTGTCTTTTGTCTTTTTCTGTGTCCGGCAACGGATCGCAACCCTCAGTGTTGCCCCCGTACCGGACCGGGGACCGGCAACGGGATTGCAACCCTCGGTGTTGCCCCCGTGCCTCGCTCAGCCAGTGAGCGGGAACCGGTCTGTATGTGGGATCCGAACCCTCGGGTGGGAGCGCCGCCGCGCTTCCCAAGCGGCACACTTATCCAGTGCACCACATTTTTCCTTGTACTTACATGTGAGTCATTTTAGTCAAATTGTAGAAGGAATATGACTCCAGCCGCTGCAGAGTTGCATCTATAGATAAGTAGCTAAATGTCACAAAAATATAAAACAAAGTAGAAAGTTAGTAGGGTTGTGAACTCCGAATATACTATTTTTTTTTTTTTTGTCTTTTGTCTTTTTCTGTGTCCGGCAACGGATCGCAACCCTCAGTGTTGCCCCCGTACCGGACCGGGGACCGGCAACGGGATTGCAACCCTCGGTGTTGCCCCCGCGCCTCGCTCAGCCAGTGAGCGGGAACCGGTCTGTATGTGGGATCCGAACCCTCGGGCGGGAGCGCCGCTGCGCTTCCCAAGCGGCGCACTTACCCAGTGCTCCACCGGGCCGGCCCTGAATATACTATTTTTGATATTACTTCTTTGTCATGGACTTCCCAGATCATGCAATATGCACAACCTTTATGAAAGCTCCCTAATTATTTTAAAATTAATCACTACTTTTTTTCAGATTCTGTGATACTGGAACTTTCCCAATACATTAAGTCCTATTTATCTGTAGGTCTCATTCAACTGTGATTTCCTTCAGAAGCTTTCCCCAAGTTTTCTGATTAGGTCAAATTTCCCATAGTGTATCCTCATAGTATCATGAACTTATCCTTAGGCTAATTATCAGAATGAACTTTCTGATTGTTTGGAATGACACTTGATTTAAGCTGTCTCATCAGATTGTAATTGTAAGTTCTTTCTCTGAAATGGAGAACTGTGCCTGTTTGGGGACATTTCATAGTGCTTGGCATGTAGTCGACTCTCAATAAGTACATGTAAAGTGAATGAATAAATGACTGAATAGATGAGTTGCTCAAAATAGCAAAAAATAAAAGCATTGGAAAATAACACTAGAATGAAAAGAAGCATTTTTAACGGAGTGCCCAATGCATGGATTTTGAAATGTAGTTTCAAAGAAGATGAAGAGAAAACCACAGTTCTCTAGTGGAACACTCCATGGGGTGATGACTACATATTTTCTCAAGACTTCTTTTCATGATTTTGAATGAGGCTGAAAATTCTAGATTCATCTTGAGTTTTGTAAGCAAAACATAATTCAAATAAAAATTTAAGTTCTAGAAAAAGAGAGAAACTCCTAAATACAATTGGTTAAGAATATGTAAGGAAAGATGTTTCAAATTGTTTCCTCAAATTCCATCTTGTAATGAGAATGACTAATGCAGACAAATTCAATAACTGTTTTCTACTGAGAGGAATTTCTATGACATTTGGGAAAATTACCGATTAACAGATGGTGCCCAGCCATAGCCATAGCAGATATTCTGGGGGGCTTTTAAAACACACAGATGTCCAAGACCCACTTCACAATAATTAAATCAGAGTTTATGAGGGATGGGTCAAGCACTTTTCATTTTCAAAAGCTTCCTAGGTGATTCTAATGTGCAGGCAAGGCTGAGAACTACTGGCCTATAGTTTAAATTGAATCCACCAGTAAAATATTTTCATTGATACAAGGTTTATAAAAGGAACACTGTTTCTTCCACTCTGAGTTTTTATCATGGCTATTTTAAGTATTCTAATGGTCCTGTGCTTTCTGTTTTGAATTACCTATTCTGCAGACAATTATCCTTTGATTTAGCAGGTCTCTCAACCCTTTGCCTCTTGTGGATAACAGCATCATAAAAATTGTTTTGATCCAAATATTATATCTCTAACATGGAGAAAAAAATGGAACATGTTGAAAAGAATTAATTTATTGTGTAGAGACTGAGAGGATTTTACATGGATGAAGTTGAGCCACCTAGAAGAGAAAGATTCATTTTGAAGGCTGCCAACTTGTTTCCCTAAGTTTGATCATACCCATTGCTCCATTTTTTCTATTGAATTTCTTAGTTAAGAAATGTGAGCTTTTCTCAGGGGTTTGGAGGGATGGTCATTCAGCCCATGTCATAGGACTGACGTTCCAGTTTCTTCAACCTAATGACACCTCCTGGGAGTGCTGTTATAGCTTGGTTGTGAAGACAACACGTAGGAACCATTTATTCAGTGGGACGAAAGTAGTGATTCCCTGCTTATTTATCCCATTTTTATAACTAGGATACATCAGATCCTACCTCTTCTTCAAATACCTTCTTAGCATGTACATCTTACATGTGATATGTACCACTATGGTTATCATATCATTTATCACCCAAACTAGGATATATTTGTGAGTTAAAACAGGGTGCTATTAATAATTATGCCAGAATAACAGGTGGGAATTTGGAGCATCCCAGGCAAACCTAGGACTACCCTCTAAGATATACTGAATATTAACTATTATTCATGTATGTGCATATGCTTTCATTCAACAAATATCTATTGAAAATGTTTACTGTATGGCAGACACCCTTCTAGACATTGACAAAACAGACTTGTTTCCCAGCTTCAAGGAACTCACTGTAGTGGGAGATACAGATGGATAAATGGAATTAACATGCAAGGTGTTAAGCTCTGATGGGGCTCAGTGAACACTTAAACATAGTTTCCCTAGAGGAAGCCTCATCAGGACCTTCAATTCTACCTGGATGTCCTCTATGTCTCAGTTAACCCTCTTCTTATTGGCCTGACACTTTTATTTGAGACCTTCTCCACAAACTTCTAATCGCCACCTCCACCCTCAATCTTGGTAAATAACCTTTTAATAACTGTAGAAAAGACTGAAACCTTGACATGGGAATTCCTTGAATTCCCCATCAATAAGCCTATTAATTTTCCTGCATCTGCTCCATCTTTTGCTGCAACTTTCTTGTTACAATGCCTAAGGTGACCATCTTTCTATAGAAGATCAATCCGTGTATTTGGATCCCATCTCCTCCTGGCTCCTCAGGGACCACATGCTCTTAAAATTGTTCTTTTTCTATCCTCTTTGGCCTTTCCCTCTCTACTGATGCCTTCTGGTCCTCCTAGTTGCATCTACCTATTTATGGCTCTCAAGTCTTAATCTCTACCCAAATTTCTCTCCTGAGTGCTCCCACATGCCCAGAACTTCCAATCCTCCTCACTTTACGTTTTTCTTTTTCCCTATTCATTATTCCCTTCTAAATTTACTTCTTATTATGTGTTTGGTTCATTGTCCATTTCCTCCCATCCAAATGTAAGCTCCACAGGAGTATGGATCTCTGTCTGTCTGCTCCCTGATGTAGCCCTAGCTCTTACAACAGTGATTGGCACTTAGCAGGGGCTGAATAAATACTTGCTGAATGAATGAAAAAAGTCTATGTCCTGATGTCTACTGAATATACCTCAAATGCCATATGCTCCACATTTAATTCCTAACTTACCCCCTGCCCTTCTAAAGCAAATACACACAAAAACTTCTCCTCTACCTCAGTAAATATGTGTATCAGCCACCCAGGTGTCCTAATTAGAAACTTGGATGTGATTCTTCGCCATCTCCCTCCACCTCCAAATCAATCAACTTTCAGGCTTGTCAGTTCTCTCTCCTCAGTAAATATGTGTATCAGCCACCCAGGTGTCCTAATTAGAAACTTGGATGCGATTCTTCGCCATCTCCCTCCACCTCCAAATCAATCAACTTTCAGGCTTGTCAGTTCTCTCTTATTTACTTCTCAGATCCCTATACTTTTTCTTTATTACCCCTCAAGCACCATTGTTCAATTTGCCATCCCTTCTCCCCTGGGCACTACACCAGCTCTTCACTAGCTTCCTGTCTATAGCCTTGCTCCACTTCAAACCTCTTTACACAGCACAGCTCAGGGAATGTTTCTAAAATAAAAATCTGATCAATTTTATTTTAGAAACATTTGCCTGCTTAAAATCATTCAATGGCTGGGTCGTTAGGGAAGATTTCACACTCTTTCACATGGTTCACAAACCCCTGCAGTTGCTAACCCCACAGTTTTACTTTTTTCTACTGCCCTACCTTTCCCAGCCTAAGCCCTAGCCCCCCAAAACTTATTTCAGTTCCTCAGAAAGCCCAGGCTTTTCCCTTCTGGTTGGAATTATCTTTCGACTTATCTTTTTGCTAGATGACGCAGATCACAGGTGAGGTGCCATTTCCTCCAGGAAGGCTTTCCCTGCCCCCTGCTCTCCTCTCATTCAGGTAACATGACTCCCATATGGGTTCCCATCGTTTCCCATAACTGCGACTTATCTTTTTGCTAGATGACGCAGATCACAGGTGAGGTGCCATTTCCTCCAGGAAGGCTTTCCCTGCCCTCTGCTCTCCTCTCATTCAGGTAACATGACTCCCATATGGGTTCCCATCGTTTCCCATAACTGACCCCATCATGGCACTGATCACTCTCTTAGGGATGAAACTGAAGGCTCCAAGAGTGTTGTCTACTGTTGTACACGGAGCATGTAGCAAAGTGCCAGGCACAAAGTAGGGCTCGATAAATATTTGTTGAATAAATGATTGAAGTAATAGCCAAGCTATTGGGACATCCAACTGGAGACACCAACTGGAGTAGAAGGGGGATGAGGGAAGAGAAAGAGCTAAAGCGGATTTTGAGGTTTTTAGCTTACAGAATGCTAAATGGTGGTGCTGTTAAAAGGAGGAGTAGAGAAGGAAAAATTTGGAAGATGGGGTGTTTATTTTGGATATGCTGAGTTTGAAGTACTTGTAAAACATCCAGGTGGTAATATTTGGAGGGAAACTTGTAATGCAGGCTTGAATTGTAGGGTGAGTCAGGGCTAAAGATATTCATTTAGGACTTAGCTGTACAGATGGTCCCCGACTTACAATGGTTCAACTTAAGATTTTTTGACTTTACAATGGTGCGAAAGAAATACACGTTCAGTAGAAACTGTACTTCGAACAACCATACAACAATTCTGCTTTTCATTTTCAGTATGAAAATGAATATTCAATAGGATATTCAACATGTTATTATAGAACGGGCTTGTGTTATATGATTTTGACCAACTGTAGGCTCATGTAAGTATTGTGAGCATTTTTTTTTAAAGGTAGACCAGGCTAAGATATGATGTTTGGTGGGTTAGGTGTATTAAATGCATTTCCACCTTAACGATATTTTCAACTCACAATGGGTTTATCCCATAATAAGTCAAGGAATGTCTATATTAGGTAATAGTGAAGCCAGAGGAATGGGGGTGTTCACTCAAGGAGAGTAGAGTAGAGACAAATTAGGACAAAATACACAAAGAAAAAACTGGTATCTAAGGAATTGTCAAGAATAAAATAAAATAGAAAGCTGGGAAAGGAGATTAAGGATGAATAGCCATGGTAGGATGATAAAAAGAGGAATATCAAGGAAATCAAAAGAGGCAAGAATTCAAAAAAAGGGGGGGGGGCTGGTTAGCAACAGCAAAAACTGCAGAGATGTTCAGCTAGAATGGTCTCTTAGCCTCAGCACTATTGACATTTTGGACTAGATCATTCTTTGTCAGGGGGACTGTCCTGTGCATTGTAGGATTTTTAGCAGCATCTTTCACCTCTACCCACTAGATGCCAGCAGCAGTCCCCTCACCAGTTGTGATAACCAAAAATGCCAAATGTCCCTGGGGGCAAAATTGCCTCTGGTTGAGAACTACACAAATGACACAATAGATAGTAAATGGTCATGAGATGAATAAACTGTACAGGTTGCTCCTGGTTGTATTTTTTGGGATGCCTGAATTACCTGGATTGCCTGTCAGAATCAATTAAATGAAAGAAAGATCTGTTTCATTTCAAATACAGATATACTCTTTGTCAACCCAACATGGAAGTCCTTTTTCTCCTCACTCTGACTGGGGAGCAATTCAGTTTTTTTTTTTTTGTCTTTTGTCTTTTTTCCGTGTCCGGCAACGGATCGCAACCCTCAGTGTTGCCCCCGCACCTCGCTCAGCCAGTGAGCGGGAACCGGTCTGTATGTGGGA